AGGCAATGGCTCCACCACTGAGCCTCCCTCTCAGCCCCACGTGTTAGATTTGAAAAGATTTTCCTTTTTGTTCTAATAGTTCCTTGATACTAAGACCTTTAAGTGTTGCCCTTGGTCCCCTCTTTATTTGGGTGATCAACTACAGGTGTCCTACTGTGAATAATATTTCTTCCTTTTGTTCCTCCCAATACCCTGTCCCTGAGTAGCTGCTGTGGCATAATATTCTTTCACGTCCATTTATTCCTTGTAAGGAAGTCATCACACTCATTCTACTTTCATATGCTCTTTCCACACACCCCAACCTTAGGGGGAAGTAATGTTATCCTGTGGTTCTTCATACTTAGTTTACCACATTGTCAGTGGTATGAATCTGAACTTTTAGATTTTAGATTTAATTAATGTGAAGGTAATTCTGTATGTTCCTAGAAGCCCATCTACGCCCAAGGTGGTCCAGAAAGTGTCCATAGTTAGAGAATATCAACTCTGACATGATGCTGTATTTCAAACCCTGCCATCATGTGTCTCACGTGACTCTGGTGAGCTTTCGTAGAGTGCTCAAAAGACCTTACAATTCTTCCAGTGACTCTTTTATCATTGCTGGAGTTTGCAATCTCCTAAATAGGTGCATGGAAAGAATTTTGAACTAGCTAGATGCATATAGATAGATTCTGTAATATGGCAAACTATTTACATTAATGTAGATATTTTAAACTGCCTTTGTAATTTATTTTTTAATTTACTTTCCTAGCTACTTTGCAAACAAAAAACAATTAGATTCTTCAAGTTTTTGATAGATATACCATGTTTAGATTTTCAGAGCATGTAGCTAAATAGATATATAGATATATGGATAGATAGATATAGATAAATACAGATATAGATATAGATATAGATATATTCTCTGCCTAGATCATCATTTGGTCTTCTACAATAAATACAAGGTATGATCAACAAATATGGTGAATGTTTAAATTTTTAAAATTTATTATAGTAAAAAACATATTACCATTGACCCCCTCCAAAACACCCCCTAACTTCAAGGACACTTCTCTTGCCACTTTCTGAAGCACTTCTGGAATTCCTCTTTCTTGAGTGTCTTCAGTTGTGTTGTTCTGGTTGCTTCAGTGTTCTACTTTGATTCAAAACCTTTAGCTTTCGTGTTTGTTTTGACTTTGAGGAAGAACCGAAAAGCACACGGTGCCAGATCCAGTGAGAAAGGCGCATGAGGACATCCCATAATGCTTTTACAAACGTGCCCTTCATTTGGATGGCACTCAGCACCAGTGTTTACCATACTGTATTTATAAAGACACTCACAAAGGAAAACTTCCAGGATTGCTTCAGAAATTGGCAACCAAGATGAGACAAGTGTGTGTGAGGGAAGGGGAAATATTTTGAAGGAGATTAAAGACAATATGTCTTTTACTGTAATACATTTTTAATTTAAGCATTCACCATATCTTTTGATCATCCCTTGTACACATTTAATGGCATTACTAGTAACAAACTGTTAAAAGGTGAGAGCATGCAAGATTGTGATGTGGGTTCCTGTAAGGGGACATTTTTATTCTTGCAAACAGGACTTTGTATTCTTTACTTGACTTGTTTTGTTTTCCAGGAGACAGGTTTTTTACAGAGAAGTTTTAGGTTGGTTTATGGCTGTCCGCTTGTGTGGATGTGTCTGAAGATTTAGCCAGAGGCTATGGAACAGGTTTTGGAAGTTCACCTCTGTCAGGGATGTGTGTCAAGAAATGGTAATGTGCCTCTTTCTGCAATCCTGAAAGTCTCTTTTCCTTTCTAGTTGGAGACTGTTAAACTCCTAGAAAATGAGTGCTCATCTATAAGGGAAGCAAAGGTAAGTGTTCCTTTATTTTTTATTATTAAATTTATTGGTATAATTTCATTATATATAATTATCAATCCATCTAGGGAATTTGTACCTGTAATGATATATCTTGCTCCCTCATGTTTTTCCAATTCACTCCCCTCCTTTCAACCCCTCTTGCCCTCCTTATTTACAAAGCTTTGCTTCCATTTTATCCTTCTCTTCTCAGCTTTTTCTTCACTCTACGCCCTTCCCCCTTCCTTAGTTCCCCTTTCCTTTGGAACAATTCCATCCTATTTCACAATATCTATTATATATTTTGATTCTTATTTACACTTTCAGTTTCTCACACCAGACAGACAATGTGATATTTACATATGTGTGTTCTATTTATTTCCCTTAAGAGTATGGCCTCAAGGTCTATTCATTTAGCTATAAAAGTCTCAAGTTTATCATTCTTTATAGCTGAGTACTACTCCACCATATAAAAAAAATCCACATCTTTTTTATCCATTTGTCTATTGATGGGCACTTGGGTTGTTTCTAAGATTTAGCTTTTACAAATTGTGCTGCTATAAACATGACTGCACACATATCACTGTGGTATGATGCTTTTAATTTCATTGGGAATATGCCAAGAAGAGGCATAGCTGGGTCAAATGGGACTTCTAGTGCTGGCATTTTGAGAAATCTCTGCCCTGATTCCCACAGTGGTTGTACCAGTCTATAGTACCACCAACACTGAAGAGTTCCTTTTCCCCCACAGCCCCACCAGCATTTATAGTTGGTTGATTCCTTGATAACAGCCATTCTTTCTGGGGTGAGATGGAATCTCAGTATTGTTTTAATTTCTGTCTCTCAAAGAACCAATGATGCTGAACATTTTTTCCATTTTTTTTGCCATTTGTACTTTTTCATTTGAGAGTGTCTATTCATTTCAAATGCCTATTTTTGGACTGGGTCTTTAAATTTGGGGGGGTCTGATTTTTTTCAATACGTTATATGTTCTAGATTTTAGTTCTTTGTCTGAAAAACCACTAAGATTTTTTTCCCACACTATAGGCTGTCTTTTCACTCTGTTGTTGATTTCTTTTGCTGTAAGGTTTTTTTAATAAGATGAGATCCCAGTTGTTGATTCTTTGTAGTATTTCCTGAGCAATCCAGATTTTGTTCATGAGGTCTTTGTTTACACCTATGTCTTCAAGAGTTCTATCTATTCTCACTTGGGGCAGACTCAGATTTCCATTTCAGTATTTAGGTCTCCGAACCATTTTGATTTTAGTTGAACACATGGTGAGAGAGATGGGTCTAGTTTTAGTCTTTGGTATGTGGAAAGCCACATACCAGAACCATTTATTAAAGACGCTATCTTTCTTCCAGTGTTGTCTTTAAAGTTACTAACACATTTCCACCCAGCTGGTTAACTGAGATAATGTCAGAATATTGGTTTTATAAATACAATGTCTATAATTGTTTGTCAACAATAATGTAAGAGTTTTCCCTTGGTTAAAGAAAAAACATAGCTTAAGGTGTTTAATTATTATGACTTAGTTCTCAGGAGTCCTCTAATTCAATTGTGAGGCTATATTTTAGTTACATATAATTAAAAGGTGGAGCTTTCAATGTGTAAGCCATAAGGTTTTCTTTTGTTTTTGTTTTTTTTTGGTTTTTCTCCGGTACTGGGAACCGAGCTCATGACCTTGCGCTTGCCAGGCAGGCGCTTTGCCACTGAGCTAAATCCCCAGCCCTGCCATAAGGTTTTCTTAACGTATTAAAATGTTCTTGGTTAAACTTACAGAAGTTGAGAAGGACCTAGCTACTTTGATTGCCAAATTAATTAGGGAAGTGATTGTAAAAAAACCACACGTACATTTTTCAAAAAATAAAGATTAATGTAAATAAATAACTTAAATATTATTTATTTAATAATAAGAATTTTTCTGTTAACTCACTAGCTCACAATTCCTTTGCTAACTGATCCAGAAGATTGCAAACTACAACCGTAATAAACGAATCACTGAACGAATGCTGCATAAGCTCTACAGAAACACATGACTATAAGAAGGAAGGGTTTAAAAGGCAGTATCATATCAGAGTTGAAATTTTTCTAAATATGAACATTTACTGGACCATTTGGACCTAGGTTAGATTTTTTTTTTTTAGGTTAGATTTGAATAACAGCTTTCATACAGTTACCCATATGAATTAAATATGAGATAGAACTTCAGGTTTGTGGTACTCATCATATAGTAATGCACCTATAAAGTTATAAAGAACCTAAATAGAATATTACTTTCTCCCAAACAGGTAGGTGGGGACCAGGGCAAGAATATGAAAAGTAATAGAACCTTGATGACTCCCTTAAAATGATTAAGTGGGAATGAAGGGATATTACTTCCAAGCAGTTTCTTTGGGACAGAATATTAGGAAGAAAGAGAAGAAGAAATATTATGTGATGTAGAGTACCTATATTTGATAATTAAAAGAAAGAAGGGAACAAAGGTAGTACTTGAAGGATAAGCATAAGGCAATTATCTAAATAATAGTGAAAAATCAGACAGGAGTGGTGTTGCACAGCTGTAACCCCAGCATGCTAGTGGGCCGTGAAAAAGGACAGACTTCTGAGAAGGCCGGGGGTGGGGGGGAACTGCTTCCCTGATCTCAATGTTGAGTTGGCAGATTGAGGCTGAGGCCAAAGAGCCTGCAGGTATTGCTCTATGATGGTGTGTGCTACTCACTCCACAAAGGAGCTGAGGCCTTCTGACTTTTTAAGCACCCGTATGAAGGGTCAGTTTCCCTCTCCTGAAGTTAGGCATCTGGATATTAGCGCTTTGCCTTAGAATGAAGAATGCCCCACCTCTTCCTACTTCTCATGAGTCCTCCTCTGGTAAAAGCTTCTCCAGAAGGCCTGCTCTATGGGGCATCTTCATTTAATTTTCTTTCTTTGAACAAAAGGATGTTCATAGAATGCCCAAGGAAATACTGTTATGCTCTTTGCCTTGACTGTTCATATAGACATGGCAAGAGGAAAAGGATTATGTAGGAAGACCTTGTCTCTGACCTGCGGGTGTCCTGACTGCTTTGTACTCATGGGCATATCTGCAGTGTACACAGGTAGTTCTACTAGACTGAGTGTTGATGGAACGCCTCAGTGGCAAGGATGACTCTGCCTGAATAATGCCACATACATGGTTTATTGGGACACCAGCTTTACAAAGCAGTCACCCCACCACTGCAGATCCTCATCTTCTACAGCTGCAATTCCAGGGATAGGGAGGAGGCAGGCAGCAGACACATGGGTTCCCGAGAAATTCTCCAAGGATGGTCACTAGATGTGCTTGTCCTTTCCATGTTTCACCTGGCTGCCAGAGTCACTCTCCTACAAGACAGATTCGACCATGACATTTCCTCTGCTGAGAAACCTGCAGCTGTTAGTGCTCACACTCTATGGCGGCAACTGGTTGCTCTGCAAGTTCGCACCTTTGAAAGTGTCCCCCTAGACACTGCCACATGTACAGATTACCGTCCATTTCCCTTCTCCCGAGGAGGGCTCAGATTTTTTCCTCCGTCTGACCTGCCTTGTCCTGTCTAGCAGACCTTGTGCCTCCTTTAAACTCCCCTCTTGATGTCCTCCACTCGGGGACAATTTCCTCATGCACTCTAACCAAAGTAATGACCCCTCTATTTGCTTCCGTGGAATTTGGTAGAAATGTGTGCAGAGCACAGAATTGTAATACTCATCTCTTTCCTCAACTTGGTTATGTTTATCTTTGAATTTCAAGGTAATTTAAAGGTAAATTTGCACATGTCTGCATGCCATGGAAGGACTCAAGTAAACTGAGGTTCGCATTTCTTCCAGTCTTCCTACCAGGATGACCTATTTTCTTGGAGATATTAAGCCTTTCTGTTTGAGTAGGAGAAGAAGGAGAGTGTGAAATCCTGGTCAAACACAGTCCTGCAAATGTCTGGCAGGTTATGCTACTTGCTTCTTTGGAGCCCTTTGGTGCTTTCTTGGATAGGGGAAGGCTTGAGATACTTTGACTAGCTTTCTCGCTGCTCTTTGGTTCTAGCTCCTTTTTCTTGAGACTCCCCAAATTCTATGTAAATTGGACAAGGCATTTCCAATCTGCCCCAGCAAAATGCACTGGACGTTGTCAGCTTTCTTCTTGGACAACTCCTGATAGGTTTATACTCACTATGAAAACAGGGGATTGGCAGGAATGACCACATCCATTGCTGCAGCACTTCAGATCATTGGGACATGACTGATCTCCTGAGCAAAATTCAGCACACAACCCAATAGTTCCTTTAGGCAGCTCAGGGCAGACACCAGGTTTTTGTTGTACTGAAATATACAATTGGATTTTTTAAACCAAGACAGGGATAAGAACAGATGCTAAGTGTCTGAAGCCCACATCACTGCCTGAACTCCAGCTTCTGCTTCCTCCTT